GACTCAAAAGTAATGAAAGTCATATGCATGCTATAGGATATATAGTATGAGATATATATTCTATAGGGTGAATATTAATGATGAGAAATGAGAAGGTTATAATGAAAGTCATATGCATGTTATAGGATATATAGTATGGGATATATATTCTATAGGGTGAATATGAATGATGAGAAATGAGAAGGTTATAATGAAAGTCATATGCATGCTATAGGATATATAGTATGGGATATATATTCTATAGGGTGAATATGAATGATGAGAAATGAGAAGGTTATAATGAAAGTCATATGCATGCTATAGGATATATAGTATGGGATATATATTCTATATGGTGAATATGAATGACGAGAAATAAGAAGGTTACAACGAAAGTCATATGCATGCTATAAGATATATAGTATGAGATATATATTCTATTGGATGGATATGAATAACATGGAAATGGGAGAAAGAATATATGAGTGTTTCATTTACGTGCTTGTGGTTATAATTTATATCCTTGCTTAATTGTATTTTGAAATGTGGATTATCATGCGATGTTAGTTTTGAACTAATGACTTACTCCCTTCGTTTTGTGTGTTGTTTATGATAATCACATTGTAGGTAAATGAAAGATTTTGAGGATGAAGCTCAATTAGGAAGCTTTTGTGTTTATTTATTCGATTGTCTTATTTGTTACTTGACGTTGTAGTTAATTTGATAACATTATGAGATGATTGTAAATCCGTTTAAATTAATACGAATATGTGTAGTTATGAGCTTTATAACTTTGGGAGACCCATAACTGGTTGTATGTGGTAAATGCTATTTGAATGAATTACGTTTTTCCGCAACATAAATTTATATGATAATATAATAGGGTAAAGAGAAATTTCAAAGAGTGATACTTGAGAGTTTTCAATGAAGGCAACGACTGTATGTAAGAACAGATTAAAATAAATGAAAAATTTTCAATGGTAGAAAATCGGGTCGTTACAGATCCAAGTCTGGTATCCATTTGAATCAGAAAAAATATATTCTATTTCTCCTTGAAAACACTGGTTGTTTAGGTGCTAAGCCTGCTCAAACCCCTTTTGATCCATCTATTAGACTTCAACTTGAACAAGGGCAACCTTTTCAAGATGTCTTTTGTTATAGAAGATTGGTTGGCAAGTTGCTTTATCTAACTATATCAAGGCCATACATATCTTATGTTGTCCAACATCTCAGCTTATACATGTCTAAACCTATGGATTCCCATTACAAGGCAGCTTTAAGGGTTGTGCATTATTTGAAAGGTTCTCCAACTTAAGGGCTATTTTTCTCAGCCAGTTCTCCTCTCACTCTCACTGCTTTTGCAGACACAGATTGGGCTTGTTGTTTGGATACAAGGAAGTCTCTCACTGGTTTCTGTGTGTTTCTTGGTTCCTCTCTTATTTCATGGAAGACCAAGAAACAAAACACAGTTAGTAGATTATCTTCAGAGGTAGAGTATAGGGCCTTATGTACCTTGGCTTGTGAAATTCAATGGCTGCACTACTTATTCACATATTTACAAGTGAATCTGTCTACTCCCACTTCAGTTTATTGCGATAATAAGTCGACAATTTACTTGGCTCACAATCATGTGTTCCTTGAGAGAACCAAACACATAGAGATTGATTGTCATGTGGTAAGGGAAAAGATTCAAAATGGTCTCATCAAGTTGCTTCCCGTTCCTTCTTCTGCTCAGTTAGCAGATACTTTCGCCAAGCCTTTGCATACAAAATCTTTGAACAATTCTATATCCAAGTTGGGTCTCTTTGATTTACAACGTCCAACTTGAGGGGGTGTGTTAGAATATGAATAGTATTAGAAACAGTCTACTGTTTCTGCTTCTTTTAGTATGCACCCTATTGTTTCTGTTACGTTTTCTATGGCTCTTCTTCTTCTCTGGTTGTTGGGTTTTAGAGTAATATAAATAGTTGAGTTTTCTCCTTTTGTAATAAGACAATAGAAATACAATCAATAAACACGGGAAATGAATTTCCCAAATGTTTTGTTCCACTGTTCATATTCTTCCTTTGTTTCTTTCTTTTCCTTCAATATTTAAGAGGTGTATCTTTCCTTTGGTTGCAAACTGAAAGAAGATGGACAGAGAAAAGTAGAGTATAAAGTGAGTTTTTCACCCATTTGGTTAAGGAAAGAGAAGATATGAAAATGAGAAAAATGAGGGAAAAAGATTGAATCTTGTGAAATGACAAAACATGACCCTTGAAAACTATTTTTTTAGAGTAATATTATATTCTACTACTAATCATTCTACCCACAAAAAAGTGACATGTGTCACTTATAAATCAATCACTAATAAATATAGTATCAACTTTGTGACATATGTCATTTTTGTGTGGGTAGAAGGATTAGTATGAGGATTTAGTATGATAATATACCATTTTCCTTTTTTTAGGAGTAAATTACACTAAAACCCTATGAGATTTAGTGAAATTACATAAATCACCTAATTTATATATATATACGTTATATTGGCTACCCCACGTGAGAAATAAGTGTGTTCTATTAAACAAAAAATGTGATAAGTGTAATTAAGTTAAATAAAATATGATATATTGTTGAAACAGATAGTATATGATCAATACATTTTTATTATTTTTTGTTCGTTACAATATAGTAAAAAGTGATTTAAACAATATCTCCTTAGAATTATTGATGCATCTTGTAATAAACCAAAAAAAATATTGATCATATATTATTTGGACTTGTCTAAACAATATATCATATTTGTTTAATTTAATTATATTTAATATCATTTTATGTTTAGCAAATCACACTTATTTCTCATGCAAGGTAGTGAGTGTAATGTATGTATATAAATTATGGTTTTTTTTAGGTATATAAAAAAATGGATGAATAATTTATATAATTTCACCAAAACTCAGCGGAATTAGTGTAATTTACTTTTTTATAACAAATTTTTTTATTTATTATAAGGATATTTTTGTTTTATAAAATATATATCATTTGTTTTTTTTAGCACTATCTCTTTATTATTTCTCTCATTTTTTTTCTTAATTTTTTTCATCAACCAAAGGCGTAGTGAGAGTGGTTGAAAAGTGGTGAGAAGAAAGGTGAAACTGATATTGGTTACAGTAAAGTGGTAGTGATGAGTGATGGATATCATATACAATGAAGTGGTTGGATAAATATTGTTTTCTTATGGAATATTCCAATATTATTAATCGGTTGGGCTGAATGTATGGACATTGATATGTCATCTGTGATATCAGTAGCAATTGTTTACCAATAATGTCTGGATAGTAGAAGGTTCCGTTAGATTCTAATAATGACAAAAAAGTTAAGGATTCGATTCCTGAAATTAATACTTATTGAGAGGAAAAATACGTGCTTCAAAACTAATTAGTTCAGGTATCTTTGATAGTAGAAAAAAATGAATTAACACTTCAATACTTTCAAAAACTAATGTAATTTTATAAATACTTTTAGCCATAGTATATATATTATTCTTTTTCATGGTATGAATTGGTTGGCACATTCATGTGCTATGACTCATTTGTTGTATAAATCTCTTTAATATATTAGTGGGAGACTTTATATACATAAACATACATAATACATAAAGATAAATGAATAATACTTTTATCATATATAGCCAAGATCTTTTATGTCAAATTATCAAGAAGAAATATAGAACTAGAACTTGAGCGAAAACATACCTTAATATATTCATATAGAATATGAAGAATAAACTTTATATCATGCTTTTTCATGTATCCACAAAACTCATGTCCTTTGTTTTCTATGCAAGTGCATGTTCATAGTAGAACATGTAGGTTTGTTGGTCTTCCAATTGTATATCACCCTTAGCCTTAGTTTCTCCTCTAATGGGGTGAAGAGAATAGTAATTTTGTGGTTGTGTTGTAGTGGTCACAATTGGGGACCATAACCCCTATTTATAAGACATGCATTCCCTTTCATGAAGGATGATGCATTTTCATTTCTTATTTCTTATTTTGCCCATCATAAAAATAGAAATAAGATATTTGATATCTAAACAATAATTTTCATGATAATTATGTCTATATCCGTAAACCTTATTCGAAATAGATTACTTTAATTTGGCTAATAAAATAATAACCTTAAACACATTTGAACATTACATGTGTTACTCAAAATTTCTTATATTGTCAGGAGCTCAAAATGTGAAATTTTAGTAGCTTGGGTAAGATGATATAATTTGCACTCTAATTATTTTAGAGTGTGATTGTTTAATATTTTCTTTTTTCAAAGAATCGCTTTTATGTAAAAAATAGTTCTCACATTTTGAAATTTGCTTGTTTAGGTTTCTGACTAGAATTAATTCTTAAAAGAAATGTTTATATGACAAGCTTTGTGGCAAAATCGCTTCTTGCAAGAGAAGGAACCTACTATTTGTTTATTTCATAATAATATCCCTTTATTTTTATAAAACGATAATATTGTCCTTATATTGGTTGTTTAGGTACTCTTGAGGGATCTACTGGGACCTACGGAGCAGACTAACAGGGGACAACAATAGTAGCAGCCTAACAACCCTGTTGGCTGAAACTTTTGGAAAACTACATACACTATTTTAACGTTTACTATTTTTGCGAAAAAGTATTATGAACTATTTTTATTTACAATTATCTCTTAAACTTTATTATTTTGTGAAATTGATCAATGTATAAATAGATAATAAATAAATTGTTGGGATTGTGAGATATTTCCAAAATATCTGAATTGAAATAATGAATATATACATTTTATAAATGATATGTGATATAATATATCAGTTGGTCTAGTGGTTGAAATTATTTAAGTTTGAGGTTGTTGGTTCAAATCCTTGGTTGAACATTTTGTTTAGATTTTGTACATAAATAAAGTAAAGATACATCTAGTAGGATTCGAACTTGGTTCCCTTTACTTGTCAAAAAACATAAATACCACTAGGATATGCCTCATGTTTGTTATAACATTGAATCCGTATTATACATTTTTAACTAGTAAATAAAAGAGTAAGTAAAAAAAATCAAACAAAAGAAGCTCCATAAGGTCAAAAGAAAAAAAATACCAAATAATCAATGGAAACGGAAAGAGAGGGATTCGAACCCTCGGTAAACAAAAAGCCTACATAGCAGTTCCAATGCTACGCCTTGAACCACTCGGCCATCTTTCCCTCCTACATAATATAATGATTAATTCCTTTGTTTGTGGGATTATTTTCTTTTCTCGCGCGATAAAAAAGTAAATTATAGAATGGATTGCTACCTATGCCCAGATCTCGGATAAATGGAAATTTTATTGATAAGACCTTTTCAATTGTAGCCAATATCTTATTACGAATAATTCCGACAACTTCAGGAGAAAAAGAGGCATTCACTTATTACAGAGATGGTGCGATTTGATTATCTTTTTTTTATTTACATTTAGCGATCCCAGTCTTAGGAAAAAAGACACATTTTTCGGAGAGAAAGAAAGAAAAAAATTGAAAAAACCTACGCTTGCTGAAGGTGAAGTTTGTAAATAAAACAATTAAATCCTTCTGTCGTGTATCCCCGATTAATGAAGCCTCATATACTTCCATTTTAGGTTTATAGTATTAAGCGAAAGGTTATACCTATACCTAATGGAGTTAGGTCAACCCTACTCCACTAGTACTAATAGGCGGCCTGGGGGAAGAAGCACTACGCTTAGGAATCAACAACACGAAAGAAAACTTTGTAAAACTAAAATATCTTTCCTTGCGGGATCGGAACTAACAAAAGAATGGTTGGGACAGCAAACATCCATCTCGTGCGTATTTTGGATACCCGTATAACCATCCAAGACTGTTGAAGTGACTAATTCCAAGAAATTAAGCGGCGTTGAGGACAAAGAAATTGTTGGAGTTACCCTTTCTTATCCAGTACCAACATACTTGATGTTAAGAACAGATCTTTTACAGGAAGGTTGGCTAGAGATTTCTTGTAAAAACACTAGCCCCGCTCAGTTGATAATGAGAATACTGCAATCTTTTTTGATTCTATGTATTTTTTTTTATCATTATACACATAAAGGAGGAGCCGTATGAGATGAAAATCTTACGTACGGTTCTGGAACGGAGATTCTTTGAACTGAATGACGACCGTAACGGATGTCGGCTCAATCAAATATTATTTTAGGGCACTCGAACGAAACCCCTTCTTACCCCAAGCTTTTAATAATATGGCCGTGATCTGTCATTACGTGCGACTATCTCCACTATAGAAAGAAAAAAAACAAGCAAATCCGCTAAGAAATACGAAAAAATAGGCTTTCTACATATATATCGTACAAAACAACGACAACGATTTTTATCAGCTGTAGCAAAGAAAAAAACTTCATAGAAGTCGAAATATGAAGAAATATATATGCCTAGATACTTTTTTCTATGGATAAAGATCTAATTGATAGAGGAAGCACCGTAAAGATGCATTAGCGAGGTTTTGGACCAATAAAATAAGAACTGCTTACTTATATCATGATAGAAAAGTTAGGAATCTACTTATGTAATAAAGTAGATCCCCTAGGGTTTTGAGCAGCGGTGTAGTATCAGATCCCCAAGATAGTAAGTTTTTTCTTGATAAGAAAGAAAAAACTTTCTCAAAGATTCTATAGCAATTAATATATCATATATTTTTATATATGATATATGAAACCGAGATAGTTACCTTTGAGAAAATTATAATCAGAGTGTTAATGCCGATGCTTTATTCTTCTGAAGGTAGGAGAAAAGATAAAACTATAAAAAGGGAATGAAATTCTTCGTTAGTAATATTATATTAATCCAAGTTGAAGTTTGAAACTCATGTAATTAACCTCTTTTCTTTTGGTTAACTCCAGAAAAAAAAATGGAACACCAAACCAAAAAAAAGAATTGACTTGCTGAGCCGTATGAGGCAGGAAACTCTCAAGTACGGTTCTAAGGGAAGGAATTTACTCACCTATTCCGACCGCGGAGAACAGGCCATTCGACAGGGATATTCGGAAATTGCGGAGGCTTGGTTTGATCAGGCCGCTGAATATTGGAAACAAGCTATAGCCCTTACCCCTGGTAATTATATTGAAGCACAGAATTGGTTGAAGATCACAGGACGTTTTGAATAAGAACACTCTGTTTATTATTTATATTTTTTATATTTCTTTTTATCTATTCTATTTTGATATTTGATCTATTTATTATATATTTAATTTGTTATAATTTTTTGTTTGTTGTCCCCATCAGTTAAATAAAAAATATCGTTTATCGAGGAAGAACTCATCAAAGAATTTCATTATATCCCTTCTAAAAGAGTTCTATTTCATCTGGTATTTTGTAGAGATAAACGAGACGTGAATACAGTAAGTAGAAAATTTTATTTTTTAGATTATTCAAACTAATAAAAGAGACTTTCGAAAAACTAAATAGAAATACCAGTATGTCCCCTAGTAATGCTAATGATTGCTCACGTGATTTGAAATAGAGTACATAATAATATCTTCATAATATCTTCTATGTAAGACCGAAAGTTAAAAAAGTTCTATCTAGGAACTTTCTAATTAAAATCTGAATACGCTAGCTAGGTTGCATAAAAAAACTATTTAACTTCAATTCAAAACTCAGAAAATGTTTTAGAAGATTAAAAAAGGTCCGTTGAGCGCCTCACTGCTATGTCATAATAGATCCGAACACTTGCCTCGGATTGACTTCTAGATCATAATTGTTCTAGTGAAGAACTAAAGAAAATAGATTAAAGAAAATATAGAATAGATTATAGATAGATGGGAGATAAAAGAGAAAGAAACTCAATATAAACATCTCTCATAAGTTCACTAATTATGTTTTATGTTGGCGGGTCTCTTTGTATGTGTTGTCCGGAAAGAGGAGGACTCAATGATTATTCGTTCGCCGGAACCAGAAGTTAAAATTTTGGTAGATAGGGATCCCATAAAAACTTCTTTCGAGGAATGGGCAAAACCCGGTCATTTCTCAAGAACAATAGCTAAGGGACCTGATACTACTACTTGGATCTGGAACCTACATGCTGATGCTCATGATTTCGATAGCCATACTAGTGATTTGGAGGAGATTTCCCGAAAAGTATTTAGTGCCCATTTCGGCCAACTCTCCATCATCTTTCTTTGGTTGAGTGGAATGTATTTCCATGGTGCTCGTTTTTCCAATTATGAAGCATGGCTAAGTGATCCTACTCACATTGGACCTAGTGCCCAGGTGGTTTGGCCAATAGTGGGCCAAGAAATATTGAATGGTGATGTAGGCGGGGGTTTCCGAGGAATACAAATAACCTCTGGTTTTTTTCAGATTTGGCGAGCATCTGGAATAACTAGTGAATTACAACTCTATTGTACTGCAATTGGTGCATTGGTCTTTGCAGCCTTAATGCTTTTTGCTGGTTGGTTTCATTATCACAAAGCTGCTCCAAAATTGGCTTGGTTCCAAGATGTCGAATCTATGTTGAATCACCATTTGGCAGGGTTACTAGGACTTGGGTCTCTTTCTTGGGCGGGGCATCAAGTACATGTATCTTTACCGATTAACCAATTTCTAAATGCTGGGGTAGATCCCAAAGAGATCCCACTTCCTCATGAATTTATCTTGAATCGAGATCTTTTGGCTCAACTTTATCCCAGTTTTGCCGAGGGAGCAACCCCCTTTTTCACCTTGAATTGGTCAAAATACGCAGAATTTCTTACTTTTCGTGGAGGATTAGATCCAGTAACTGGCGGTCTATGGCTAACCGATATTGCACACCACCATTTAGCTATTGCAATTCTTTTCCTGATAGCGGGTCACATGTATAGGACCAACTGGGGTATTGGTCATGGTATAAAAGATATTTTAGAAGCCCATAAAGGTCCATTTACAGGCCAGGGTCATAAAGGTTTATATGAGATCCTAACAACATCATGGCATGCTCAATTATCTATTAACCTAGCTATGTTAGGCTCTTTGACCATTGTTGTAGCTCACCATATGTATTCTATGCCTCCTTATCCATACCTAGCTACTGACTATGGTACACAACTGTCATTGTTCACACATCATATGTGGATTGGCGGATTTCTCATAGTTGGTGCTGCTGCGCATGCAGCCATTTTTATGGTAAGAGACTATGATCCAACTACCCGATACAACGATCTATTAGATCGTGTCCTTAGGCATCGCGATGCAATCATATCACATCTCAACTGGGTATGTATATTTTTAGGCTTTCACAGTTTTGGTTTGTATATTCATAATGATACCATGAGCGCTTTAGGGCGCCCCCAAGATATGTTTTCAGATACCGCTATACAATTACAACCTGTCTTTGCTCAATGGATACAAAATACTCACGCTTTAGCACCGGGCACAACGGCCCCGGGTGCAACAACAAGCACCAGTTTGACTTGGGGTGGGGGTGATTTAGTGGCAGTGGGCGGCAAGGTTGCTTTGTTACCTATTCCATTAGGAACTGCAGATTTTTTAGTCCATCATATTCATGCATTTACAATTCATGTGACGGTATTGATACTCCTAAAGGGTGTTCTATTTGCTCGTAGTTCACGATTGATACCGGATAAAGCAAATCTTGGTTTTCGTTTCCCGTGTGATGGACCTGGAAGAGGGGGGACATGCCAAGTATCCGCATGGGATCATGTCTTCTTAGGGTTATTCTGGATGTACAACGCAATTTCGGTAGTAATATTCCATTTCAGTTGGAAAATGCAGTCAGATGTTTGGGGTAGTATAAGCGATCAAGGGGTAGTAACTCATATCACAGGAGGAAATTTTGCACAGAGTTCCATTACCATTAATGGGTGGCTCCGCGATTTCTTATGGGCGCAAGCATCCCAGGTAATTCAGTCTTACGGTTCTTCATTATCTGCATATGGTCTTTTCTTTTTGGGTGCCCATTTTGTATGGGCTTTTAGTTTAATGTTTCTATTCAGCGGGCGTGGTTATTGGCAAGAACTTATTGAATCTATCGTTTGGGCTCATAATAAATTAAAAGTTGCTCCTGCTACTCAGCCTAGAGCCTTGAGCATTGTACAGGGACGCGCTGTAGGAGTAACCCACTACCTTCTGGGTGGAATTGCCACAACATGGGCATTCTTCTTAGCAAGAATTATTGCAGTAGGATAATGGCTAGGAGGATTTGAAAAGCATTATGGCATTACGATTTCCAAGGTTTAGCCAAGGCTTAGCTCAGGACCCCACTACGCGTCGTATTTGGTTTGGTATTGCTACCGCACATGACTTCGAGAGTCATGATGATATTACTGAGGAACGTCTTTATCAGAATATTTTTGCTTCTCATTTCGGTCAATTAGCAATAATTTTTCTGTGGACTTCCGGGAATCTGTTTCATGTAGCTTGGCAAGGAAATTTTGAGGCATGGGTACAGGATCCTCTACATGTAAGACCTATTGCTCATGCAATTTGGGATCCTCATTTTGGTCAACCGGCTGTAGAAGCTTTTACTCGAGGGGGTGCTCTCGGCCCAGTGAATATCGCCTATTCCGGTGTTTATCAGTGGTGGTATACCATTGGTTTACGTACTAATGGGGATCTTTATACTGGAGCTCTTTTTCTATTATTTCTTTCTGCTATATCTTTAATAGCGGGCTGGTTACACCTACAACCGAAATGGAAACCGAGCGTTTCGTGGTTTAAAAATGCCGAATCCCGCCTCAATCATCATTTATCAGGACTATTCGGAGTCAGTTCCTTGGCTTGGACAGGACATTTAGTCCATGTCGCTATTCCGGGATCCAGGGGAGAATATGTTCGATGGAATAATTTCTTAAGTGTATTGCCACACCCCGAAGGATTAGGTCCACTTTTTACGGGTCAGTGGAATCTTTATGCTCAAAACCCCGATTCGAGTAGTCATTTATTTGGTACCTCCCAAGGAGCGGGAACTGCCATTTTAACACTTCTCGGGGGATTTCATCCGCAAACGCAAAGTTTATGGCTAACCGATATTGCCCATCATCATTTATGTAACACCCCGAATTTTAGTCTTTAAAAATTAGAGTATCAGTCCTGGAAGCCTCGCTTGATCGAGAGATTCTCGCTTGAGCGAGAGAGGTGCATCTGGGAGGGTGAAATCTTGGGCTATACTGGAGGATTCTCGCCTGAGCGAGAGTTGTATCACCCGGGCGAGAAATGGCAATTTTGGGCAGTGTAATCGATTACACAGTCCATGTAATCGATTACATGCAGATAAAAGCATCAGATATGTGCATTTTACATGATGTAATCGATTACACAATATATGTAATCGATTACATGCAGATAAAAGCATCAGATATGTGCATTTTACATGATGTAATCGATTACACAATACATGTAATCGATTACATGCAGATAAAAGCATCAGATATGTGCATTTTACACGATGTAATCGATTACACAGTCCATGTAATCGATTACATATATGCGCTAAGCGAAAATTGCTCACTGTGAGATTCTCGCTTGAGCGAGAATGGGCTCGCTTGAGCGAGAACCCGACGACTGCTCTTTAAAAATAGAAACCCCAAACACATTTTAGGGTTAGAACTTGAAGAGAAGAGAGAGAAGGGAGCTTTTCAAGAGCAATGAGCCTTAGGACTCATCTTAGAGCTTGCGAAGAGGTAAACCTCTTGTTTCTAACTCTTCTTCTTCCTCTCTAACTTGTTTTGGGTATGTTAAATCTATTTTTAAAATATGAGAACCATGGAAACTCATCCGTTAGAGTTATGGTTCGTTTTAGGTTGTTTTTCTCTTGTAAACTCTTGGTTTAGAGTTGGTATTTGATGAATGGAAATGTTTTGTGGGTTGTTTATGAAAACCCAAAATGAGAATATGAGTAAAGAGAGAAATAGATGAGTATGTATGTTTTAGATGTTTGGAAACTCGTATTGAAGTAGTTTTGGAAACCTTGAAAATATGTAAATATCTTGTATGTTTGATGAGGAAATACGAGTTATTTATGTGGTATTTTGAATAAATGATTGACATTGTTGTTATTGGTGGAAATGAGGAAAGATCCTAAGGTTGGAGGAAATCGCGGAGGAGACTTTTAAAGTTACTCGGAACCGATCCCCAACACTCACCAAGGTAAGGGATAAGTGTCTCTAAATCATACTTGCTGATATGAATGAGGTATGTGAAAGAGGTAATGGTTTAAAATGGTACGTTTGTAATTTATGCATTATGTTGGAAAATGCGTGGCTTTTCTGTTATGGTAATAAAAGTAACATTATTGGAGGAGAACCAATGGAAATAAGACTCAAAATGATTTCAATCTAATTTGGGGGAGTCCCAATGGAAATAAGACTCAAAATGATTTCAATCTAATTTGGGGGAGTCCCAATGGAAATAAGACTCAAAATGATTTCAATCTAATTTGGGGGAGTCCCAATGGAAATAAGACTCAAAATGATTTCAATCTATTTGGGGGAGTACCAAAGGAAATAAGATTCGAAACGAATTCAATCTATTTGGGGGAGTACCAAAGGAAATAAGACTCGAAACGAATTCAATCTATTTGGGGGAGTACCAAAGGAAATAAGACTCGAAGCGAATTCAATCTATTTGGGGGAGTACCAAAGGAAATAAGACTCGAAACGAATTCAATCTATTTGGGGGAGTACCAAAGGAAATAAGACTCGAAACGAATTCAATCTATTTGGGGGAGTACCAAAGGAAATAAGACTCAAAAACGAATTCAATCTATTTGGGGGAGTACCAAAGGAAATAAGACTCGAAACGAATTCCATCTATTTGGGGGAGTACCAAAGGAAATAAGACTCGAAACGAATTCAATCTATTTGGGGGAGTACCAAAGGAAATAAGACTCAAAACGAATTCAATCTATTTGGGGGAGTACCAAAGGAAATAAGACTCATACGAAAGTAATATTATTGGGGGAGTACCAATGAAAATAAGACTCAAATGAATGTCGTATGCATGCTATAGGATATATAGTATGAGATATATATTCTATAGGGTGAATTTGAATGATGAGAAATGTGAATGTCACATGAATGTCGTATGCATGCTATAGGATATATAGTATGGGATATATATTCTATAGGGTGAATATGAGCGATAAAAAGGAAGATGTTGAGAAAGAAAGTAATATACATGCTATAAGATATATATTATGGGATATATATGTTATAGGGTGGATATGAATAACGAGACCGATGATGTTTCGAATGAACGTAATATGCATACTATAGAATATATATTATGGGATATATATACTATAGGATGAATATGAGTAAAGTGGAAGTTAAAGGAAGAAGATTTGAATGTTTATAATTTCGTATGTGTGTTTATGAATTACATTAAAGCTTGATTGTATTTGAATGTGGATTATCATGTGATGTTAGTTTCGAACTAATGACTTACTCCCTGTGTTTTGTGTGTTGTTATGATAATCCCATTGTAGGTAAATGAAGGATTTTGAGGAGGAAGCTCACTTAGGGAGATTTTGTGTTTATCAATTTGTTCGTCTTTGTTGCTACTTGACATTGTAGTTGAATTGATGACATTTTGAGATAAATGTAATCTGATTAGGATAATACGGAGATTTGTAGTTATGGACTTTATAACTCCGGAAAACTCATAACTGGTTGTATGTGATAATTGCTAATTGAATGAATTATGTTTTTCCGCAACATAACTTTGTATGATAATACGATAGGGTAAAGAGTATTGTCAAAGAAAAATACTTGACAGTTTTTAATGAAGGTGACGACTGTATGTAAGAAATGATTAAATTAAACGAAAAATTTTCAAGGGTAGAAAATCGGGTCGTTACAATTTAGCTATTGCATTTCTTTTTCCCATTGCTGGTCATATGTATAGAACTAATTTCGGAATTGGGCACAGTATAAAAGATCTTTTAGAAGCACATATTCCTCCAGGGGATAGATTAGGTCGTGGACATAGGGGTCTTTATGACACAATCAATAATTCAATTCATTTTCAACTGGGCCTTGCTCTAGCCTCTTTAGGGGTTATTACTTCTTTGGTAGCTCAACACATGTACTCTTTACCCGCTTATGCGTTTATAGCGCAAGACTTTACTACTCAAGCTGCCTTATATACTCATCATCAATACATCGCAAGATTCATTATGATAGGAGCTTTTGCTCATGGAGCTATCTTTTTTATTCGAGATTACAATCCAGAACAGAATGCAGATAATGTATTGGCAAGAATGTTAGACCACAAGGAAGCTATCATATCCCATTTAAGTTGGGCCAGCCTCTTTCTGGGATTCCATACTTTGGGACTTTATGTCCATAATGATGTCATGCTTGCTTTTGGCACGCCAGAGAAACAAATCTTGATCGAACCCATATTTGCCCAATGGATACAATCTGCTCATGGTAAAACTTCCTATGGGTTCGATGTACTTTTATCTTCAACGACTAGTCCGGCCTTCAATGCGGGGCGAAGTATATGGTTGCCTGGTTGGTTAAATGCTGTTAATGAGAATAGTAATTCTCTATTCTTAACAATAGGGCCTGGAGACTTCTTGGTTCATCATGCTATTGCTCTAGGTTTACATACAACTACATTGATCTTAGTAAAGGGTGCTTTGGATGCGCGTGGTTCCAAGTTAATGCCAGATAAAAAGGATTTTGGTTATAGTTTTCCTTGCGATGGTCCGGGACGGGGTGGTACTTGTGATATTTCGGCTTGGGATGCATTTTATTTGGCAGTTTTCTGGATGTTAAATACCATTGGGTGGGTTACTTTTTATTGGCATTGGAAGCACATTACACTATGGCAGGGTAATGTTTCACAATTTAATGAATCTTCTACCTATTTAATGGGATGGTTACGAGATTATCTATGGTTAAATTCTTCACAACTTATCAATGGATATAACCCCTTTGGTATGAATAGTTTATCGGTCTGGGCGTGGATGTTCTTATTTGGACATCTTGTTTGGGCTACTGGATTTATGTTCTTAATCTCCTGGCGCGGGTATTGGCAGGAATTGATTGAAACTTTAGCATGGGCTCATGAACGCACACCCTTGGCTAATTTAATTCGATGGAGAGATAAGCCGGTGGCTCTTTCTATTGTGCAAGCAAGATTGGTTGGATTAGCCCACTTCTCTGTAGGTTATATATTTACTTATGCAGCTTTCTTGATTGCCTCTACATCGGGCAAATTTGGTTAATTTAATTCTTCATGGTATCCGAAAAAATCTTATTTCCTTTCTTTCTATGGAGAAGAGAGGCGGACTACCTTCTTATATTTCTACATCTAGGATCGGACTTGTATCAGTGAAATTCGTAGGAAATGGATCATTATGGCAAGGAAAAGTTTGATTCAGAGGGAGAAGAAGAGGCAAAAATTGGAACAAAAATATCATTTGATTCGCCGATCCTCAAAAAAAGAAATAAACAAAGTTCCATCATTAATTGATAAATGAGAAATTCATGGAAAGTTAGAATCACTACCCTCGTAATAGTGCACCTACACGTCTTCATCGACGTTGTTTTTCGAACGGAAGACCGAGAGCTAATTATCGAGACTTTGGATTATCTGGACACATACTTCGTGAAATGGTTCATGCATGTTTGTTACCCGGCGCAACAAGATCGAGTTGGTAAGGATAAAAAATAATCGTCATTTTTTATTCATTTTTATGATCATCGATCATAGGGGGGTCCCTTTACCATTATGTATAAATGATTTATTCTATTTGTACAGATATGGTGTTGGGGTACCTTTAATCTTCGTTTGTCCATTAGTTTTCAATTCTTCTCTTTATCGCGGGGTAGAGTAGTTTGGTAGCTCGCAAGGCTCATAACCTTGAGGTCACGGGTTCAAATCCCGTCTCCGCAAGAGTTTTTGACAAAAATGGAGGTTCAAGAATAAAGGGAAATACTCTACCTAGACTATCCCCGTAAACTCTATCAAATTTTATAGACTTACTATCTAAATTAAATATATACAAAATAAAAAAGGTAGGGGCGGATAGCGGGAATCGAACCCGCGTCTTCTCCTTAGGCAAAGAGAAATTTTACCATTCGACTATATCCGCATTTTTTTATAGTACTCGATAAGTAATATATCGATTCGATTTGTGCAGAGCTAGGTCTGATACTCTGTTAGGGGTAAGTCGAAATATAAAAAAATTAATATTATATATATTAATTATATATTAATCTATTAATACTTCTATAAATATTTATTAGATATTCTATTAATAGAATATCTAATAAATATTTATGAATATCAAATATTTATAGAATATTTAAAACATATTCTAATATATTAATAGAGAATATAATATTCTATTCTATTTAAATTTGATTTTAATGTGCCTCAAAATCCGAAAGAATTCGGGGGGGGAGGGGGGGGGGGGGGGGGGTCATTTAGCTTCAAGAGATGAGAGAATTAAGAATACCTACTAGAAAGACTAATCCAATCCATAACGATGTACCGGAAAATACAACATTTTTGTTACTTGACCAACCATCCGGAGAAGCAAATACAAAAGGTACACTAATCAATAAAATGGATGAAGTAGCAATTAATGCAAAAACAGCCAATTGGAAAGCAATAGTCATGTTTCTAATCCTCCAATTTACCAACCAAA